CGCCAGCAGCACTTTTCCTGCATGTGGCCCCGTGTGCGCAGAGTCAAGTTTTCGTTCAACAGATAGCAGCTCAGTGATCCTTTGTAAACTGTAGCCGAGTGTAGCGTTCACAGCGCAAGAAGGACGCGGACTTTTCTCGTCCACGGCTCTCATCGTCAAGGTAAAAACCACCAGCTTGCTGTGTTGTCCCGATGCGTTTCATGATTAATTTTCTGTTTCAGCGAGAGCTGTCAGTGAAAGCGTCCCGCGCGCCCTGCCTGCGCTGCGTGAGTGCGTGCGTGCTTTAAAAGAATGCGGGAAGAGTTCCTCACGCGCTGAGCTGGCACGGGACGGAAAGTTTTTTTTTTTTTCCTTCTTCTTTCTTTTTGCGGCGGAGAGGAGTGGGAGTCAAAACTTTGCTTGTTGCGGCTGTCCTGATGCGTCGCTTCTTTTTCCTCCACACACCCCTAAAACAAACCGATAAGACGAGAGTCGACAGAAGCGCCTTGTGTTCATACCCGGAGTGACTCTTATTCACAACAATCGGTAAATAAAACCCGTTTCCAGTTTTCATTCGCAGTTTAAAAAAGAAGAAGAAATAACTCATTGAATACGTAAGATGTATTATAAACACTTGAAATCGTCTTTTATTTTGTTCCCCCATCCGTGTGCTTGAGCGACGAGACACAGCGCTACGGACTCTCCACACACAAGAGTTTTATTTTCGTAATTCTCACCAACTACGCCGAATAAGTGTTGATTTCTGACAACCTTTGGGGCTGATGAAGATTCGGCGTCTCTGTTTACATGTCCCGTAACTTTATTCCGCCTGGTGGCAGTTTCACTTCTGTCCACACAGCGGTACCTTTCATTGACAGTGACGTGCGCCCTTGTAGTGTCTTTGTGTGATGGCTGTGTGAAGCTTTCGCTCCACTCTCATTGCACTTTTTTTTTTTTTTTTCCTTTTTAATTTGCAAGTCACAGTCCGGAGCTTTTCGTCTCACTTTGATCATGACAGCGTATTTGTCTTTGGAAAACAACAAACTTTAATTATTTGTTGTTGTTGTTGTTGTTGTTGTTGTTGTTTTAAGGACAGATGTGCAAAGTTCCTTCAAGCCGCGCAGCTTGGGAATTTTTTTGCTCCTCTCAAACTTTCCCGGGGGTCGGGGGAATTGACCCCTTAAGAATGCATAAGCCGTAAATTAAATTCAACAATCGCAAGGCTTGTCCGTTCAAAACAGATGTAGGCTGTAGTATACAAGAGAAGACTTTTTTTTTTTTCCATTATTTTATCTGAACTTAACTTTATTTGAGCGCTCCGGACTCTGGAAGTTGATTTAGTGCTCTCTGTTTTCCTGCAAATTATTATTATTTTTATTGCCTTAAGGGAATAAATGATTACAAATCAACACTGATCAGCATAAAGCTAATAATGTGATGTTAACTGAGTAAACATATATTTTAACATTAAACACTCTCTCTGTTAGTGTTTTGTGTAATAGCAAAAACATTTATAAGTTAGAGGTTTTAACTTGTGAAGGATTATCTAAATTAGCTTGTGTTAAGTTAAACGCACTTTACAGACAAGTCTTGATTGGGTGTAAAAAAAAATGCGAGTTTTAACAAAATCACATAAAAAAGAACAGTCTAAGCGTACTGTTAACTTTCAGACAACTGAATTAACTTTCCCCTTATTTACAAGTCATTAATCGAGTTTTATGAAGAACCACACCTATGGTTTAATAACTCTGTAACCATCTCATGCTTTTTTTTTCCTTCCCTCCTCTCTCCACAAACATGAACCCAGCTTACCGAAAAGTCTGCTAAAGTGTTTTCTATTTTTTTTAATTATTATTATTTTTTACTTTACCCCTCTTGGCATTTTGCTCCGAGCCCTCTGTGCGGCCCGTTCACGCAGGTCTCCTCATAAGGTAAGACGGTTCTGGAGACCAAACGCGAACCTAAATGGTACATTTATAATTAGACTGCCCATTCAGCACATTGTCTTGATTGCTATACACGGACACTCGGCTCTGTCTGTGTCAGTTTGTCTCTGACGGCTGCTTCAGCTCAGCGTGTCGCTCACTGAAAGAGTAAAAAAAAAAAAAAAAAAAAAAAAAAAAAAAAAAAAGGGGCCCACCCCCCCCCCCACTTTGTGGCACCAAGCGCAGGTTTGTTTTTTTTTTTTTCCCCCCATTTT